CTATATACTGTATCAAGCAATTAAGCATTGGAGGGTGTATTTGTTGGGGAAGGAGGTGGTTGTGCACTCGAATCACAAGCTGTTGGAGTTCTTACATGCCCAAACGAAGCTACAGCAGGCACGGCACATGAAGTGAATGTCTTATTTGATGGCTTTCAACATCATTATTAGGTACAAGAAGGGGACAACGAACAAGTTGGCCGATATGTTATCTCGTCCGCCAGTAAGGGCTTTATTGGTGACGACGCGCATTCATCCCTTGGTTCCGTTGGAGTATGTACAACTGTACGCATCTAGTAGAGACTTTCGGTAGTGTGTTCGAGCAGGCGAAGGCTGGTCGAAGGGGGGAGTATACACTTGGAGAGGATGACTTGTTGTATCGTAGGACATCACTATGCATTCCGGAGGATGGTGATAGGTTGTAGTGGATTCGGGAAGCACATACCTCGCGTGTGCAAGGGCATTTTGGGATTCAAAAGACGCTTCTCAATCTACGACGACGTGTGTTTTGACCACGGATGCTTGATGATGTGACCAAGTATGTTAGAGGGTGTAAGTTATGCTGTATTTCGAAGTCTTCTAACAGGAAGAGGGGATTGTACCTACCACTACCGGTTCTTTCTAGGCCGTGGGAGAGCATTTCTATGGATTTTCTAGGAGGGTTACTGACTACCAAGCGTGGGCATGACTATTTGTACGTTGTGGTGGACCGGGTTCAGCAAGATGGTGATCTTAATTCCTTGTAAGAAGACCGTGACGGGAGCGGATGCAGCGCAGTTATTCTTTGAGAATGTGTGGAAGCATTTTGGGTTTTCGAGTTCGATTATTTCGGATAGGGGCAGCCGGTTTCTCGGGTATTTTTGGGATTTTTTGTGGAGTTTGATGGACACTAAATTGAAGAAGAGCACGGCATTTCATCCACAAACAGGCGGGCAAACGGAGGTAGTCAATCAGACTATGGTGCACATGTAGAGAGGATACAATTCCAGACATCCCAAAACTTAGGATGAGAGTTTACCATATCTACAGTTTGCTTTTAATCGGGCTATTCATGGATCTTAGGGAAAGTCATTGTTTGAGACGTGTTATGGATTCTTACCGCAAGTTCGTTCGATCTTGTATTTTCAAGTGAAGCTACAGTTAACGACAAGAAAGGGAGTGAAAGACAACGTGCTCAGCGATTTCTGGAGAAGATTGCCAACATTCATGCCGTGGTTGAAGCTCAATTGAAGAAATCACAAGCTAAGTACAAGGCGAAGCATGATCAACATCGGGTTCCTTGTAACTTTGGCAAAGGCGATATGGTATGGCTGAAATTGAGTAAGGAGAGGTTAAAAGGAGAAGGGAAGAAGTTAAAGCATATTCGTTATGGTCTGTTCCGGATCCTCGACCAGATTGGCGATAATGCTTTCAGATTGGATTTGCCGCCTTACTTAGGCATATATTCGGTGATTAATACCGAGTATTTGAAATTGTTCGAGCCTCCATTGTTGGATGATGAAGGTGACGACAAGATGATCTTACCGCATGTTGAAGATTTGTGGTTTGATAGAGAGGAGCCGCTGAAAGAAGATTACATTTTGGAACGGAAGACGACCACGACGAGACGGGGGACGAAGGAGTTATTTCTCATTGGACGTCAAGGTCAGGTTCCTAGCAAGGCTAAGTGATTCAACAGAGAATGAGGGGTTCGCGAATTCCCTCAGCTGAAGTTCTAACTTGAACGGTACTTTAAGTTCCTAAAGGGGGGGGCCATGATACGGGCGTATCTTCTCTTCGGGAGCTTAGCGATCCTCATGGGAGCTTGAAGATAGTGATTCTCATGGTATCTTGAGAATAGTGTAGAGAAGTCGTGGACAAAGTCGTTGGGGGCGGCGAAATCGAAGGTTTCGTCAAACTGCAGGAAAAATACTTTTATTGCTGGACGGTCGACCGCGCATGGTTCGGTGGTCGACCGCGAACATGCACAGCTCAAGGGATTAGGTCGGACTGATCACGGTCGACCGCGATGGGTTCGGCGGTCGACCCCCAAAATCCTGTAGGCGAAACTGCTCTCTGTCGTTGGTCACGGTCGACCGCGATGGGTTCGGCGGTCAACCGCCAAAACCCTGTAATGGATTTTCAGTCTCGGGTGTTGATCACGGTCGATCGCGATGGGCTCTGCGGTCGACCGCGTGTCGGGTTTGGGCCTGGGCTTGTTTCCTGCACTGTTTAGGATTTCTATTTGATATAAATAGAAACACGACTTTTCTAGGATTAATGACTGAGATTGTAATCAGAGAAGAGATCGGGGAGGTTGTTCTTTGATCTAGAGATATTGTGAGAGAAAGATTTGTAATCCAATTGATTCTCATAATCTAGATAATGTATTTTCCTTCGCCTAATTTATAATCTTGTGTTCTTCTGTCGTTTTCTCCACACCACTCTTGATAATTTCGCGATCAATAGTGCTTACACCGCAACTCATATCAATTAGCATAAATATTTGCCCCCTACCTTAGGTAACGTTACCTCATACCTTTACCTCCACTCAGTACCGCCAAACTTGCTTAACGAATCATATTATCTAAAACCACATTTTTATCGTTGATAACTCAAAGTTTTTTTAACACTTTAATAGCACAAAAATTATAAATATTTTAACTTTGATACCACAAAGATTTACATTTATTTTCAATGATACCTTAACGTTTACATATTTTAGCTTCAATACCCTAACCCAAGTTTTATCAAAGTGTCCAAAGCAAACCTTTGTATGTCAAAATTAAAAAAGTATGAAATTTGTCATAACAAAGTGTCAGAAAAAAATTACAAGGAACTATTGTAGATTTGAAGGAGTAACATAGAATATTGTAGATTTTGGGTACCAAAGTTCAAAGAAGTATTAGATATTAAAGTGAAATAAGGTGTTTTGGTCATTGAGGGATTAATGAACAATTTCAAAGATTTAGGGGATTAATATGGAGTTATTGTAGATCGAGGGCGCAATATGGAATTATTCTAGATTTAAGAACTTATATGCAAAATCCATCTTTATTTGAGTCTAAAACGAGCTAAAGTGAACATGGGCTCCTAACCAACTTAGCTAAAAGTGTTGCTTGGTGTATTGCTTACAATTTTTGACTCTGACTACGACTCTAAAAAAATTACATGACATACAAAAAGCAGGTAGCTCTTACTAGACTCTTTTTATACATAGAGTGAAATAACTGACGTAAATCAGCCTACTTTTATAGGGATGATTATAAAGTTACTTCTATTCATAAAAGTGGATAATTTTGGAGATATAAGGATGGAAAAGAGAAAACACCAGATTGCGTCAAGATAAAATCTGGACAAACTCTCGACCTATCCAATAAATCTTGAACCCAAACATCACACGGGTCCAAATCGAACCCTCTTTGTTTCACGCAGCGTAATTCAATCAAGTTCGGGTCTCCTCCTCCTCGAATCCGCAATGTTATGTCTCATTTTAGGGGTGGATCCCATCCATCTAAAGAAATATTTTCCCTCTTCTGTCTTTATTTTTGTCTCCTTGTTCAATTTTCTCCCCTCTTGTCTTTTTTCGCTGTCTTGGTACGTACCGTCCACTTGCCTTTCGCAAAGCAAGAAACCCACTACCGTCCCCCCGGCCCCCCGGGAAACAATAAACAAAATGACTAAAACAGAAGATGAGTGAATAAGATGGAGTTAACTAAAATAAAATTAGATAAGATTGTAAAGTTTAACTAGAATAAGAATTTTATTAGAATAATCTCTATACAAATGAAGTGGCCCATATCATTGATAGACACGCTGAAATTCTTAAATTGTTTTTAAGGAAGAAAAGGCCTGTTGCCCATTTTAATTAGGTTGAATATGATTTACTGTCTTAAGCATGAATTGTGAATAAAATTAATTCAAAACTCTTTAAGTTATTACTGACTCAAACGTTTTATCTGAATACATCAAAGATCACTTCCGTTATATATATTAGTGTGCACCCCGTACAAAGCACGGCCTCTATTTTTTTTATTTTTTGTTACAGTAATTCTTTATTTAATACAGTTTTTTGTAAGTTTGTAGTTACATTTTTTTAAATGCTACAATATCCCGCCTGAGCTAAAGTAATAATACTACAGTAAATTTTTTAAACATTGCATTTCCCGTTTATGCTACAGTAATAGTACTACAATAATGTACTATAGTATTTACTGTAGTATGAATATGTGAATATTGTATCCTTCCATTATTATAGAGGAATAGATACAGCAATGCTGAACTTATAGTCTGGATTGAAACTGAGTATTTTGTATTTGTACAAATATCTTCAGGATGCTCATCCCTTTTTAGAGTCTGGTATTACCAACTGTACAAGTAAAATTTGAAATGACATTATCAAAACTAAACTTAAAAACCGATAATATAATCTTATGTTCTAACAAAGGTTAGATATCATAAAAACCCCTTAACTCTGGACGATTATCTGAAAACCTCGCTTAACTTTCAAAATATCAAAAAAAAAAACCTTTAAGTTTAGGGGTTATTAGAAAATTGTCTTTTGATTTTCAGATTTTATCAGAAAACCCCCCTTAGGAGGTTTTTCTGAGAAAATCTTAAACTTAAATGGGGTTTTATGATAAAATCTGAAAGTTAAGGATGGGTTTTTTTGGGTATCTGTGAGTTGGGTTGGGTGTGGGGGGATACTACACGAGTTTCTGATATTTTAAAAGTTAAGGGGGTTTCCGATAATTACCCAAAGTTAAGGGGGTTTAATGATATTTACCTTTAACAAAATTATCATTTTCCAGACCATAATCTTCCATCTAGAAAATAAAAATTAATATCCCATATACTACTCTTTCTCTAAACGAGGAAAAAGAAAATGAAGCAAAACGCATAAAAATAAAATCATAGATAAAATGGATTCAACCAAAGATTCATGTACATGAATTAATTCTCTTTTAACCCAAAATTATAACTCAAAAATAAGAAATAATAAAAGGAAAAAGAGAACATACCATTCATCCAATAGTGAGTTGGTTGAAAATGATAAGCAGTTCTGAACTGAGTACTGGCTAAAGGATTGGAGAAATTCTCAGCAGGAGGAATCTCCACCATCGAAGAAGAAAAGAAGAGGAATCCAAAGAGCCATCTCAAACTGGAGAGCAATGAAGCAGAAGGGGAAACCATTGGGTTTAACAATAGAGGACAAGAGAAGGGGGAAATTGATAAAGTGGCTAGTGAGGTTATTATTTAAGAATATAAGGGAAAGTTGTGAGGAGAGCTCTAAGGATAGCACGTGATTTTATAATGAAATAAAATTCTTGATTAATGCAATTATAATGAATTGGATTACTAATGGAGCGGTGTTAGAGGCACACCATGAGGCACACCTCCGATCACACTCCCCCACCTGCTACAGTGCAGGGGGCCCCACAGGAGATTTTTAAAAAAACCTCATGTGGGGCCCCCTGCACTGTAGCAGGTGGGGGAGTGTGACCGGAGTTGTGCCTCTAACATTTCTTTTACTAATGGGGGTACTGGGCCCCGCTGGCAGTCTTTGGATGGTGCCGTAAATTGCCGAGAAAAAAAAACGAGAGTGAAATGTGGTCCTTTAATTCCCAATAAGTTAATATCTGTCTAATTATTGTTAATACTTTCAGGTATCGTTTGGCAAAAGGTTAATTGAGAGGTTAATGAGACTTAACCCTTTTTTAATCCGCCAAACACATAAAATCTATACAAATACTAAAGTGAGTTAACCCTCCATAATTTGCCAAACATAAAAAATATAGAAGCGTTAAACTAACCCCTCTAGTGTTGGCTTTCTTGTTTTGATGATGTTTAACAAACAATTTACCACTAATGTTGTTTGTCTAGTATTTGTGTTTTCTTATTTATTATAGACAAACAACGTGGTTGGAGGATGGATGGAATAAAGCTTCAACGATGATATCCAATGGAGGTTGGCGGAATTGTGGAGTGAAGCATCGTACAATTCAAGTTCAAGATCCAAGTTTAGCTTCATCCGCAACGTGTACCTAGTTGAGCTCAATGAAGATCAAGATCAAGCTTGGGTAATTTAGTTTAGGATTTATATTATGTGTGTTAAGTACGTTAAACTCAATATCTATACATACACATTTATTGGTTTCTTCGTGTATATATATATATCTATACATACACATTTAATACACATTGTTTGTTGCAGTGATGAGGCTTACGCCTCCGCTGAGGATGCACCCCTCATCCCTGCTTCTCCCTAATTCAATCCGGGTGGGCCTGAGGAGATTCCTCAACTGGTGCGGAAAGGAGATCATCGTACACTGAGACGGCTGATCACTGACGCCTCACTCACTAAGGATCCAAGCTCTGCTCAGCCTTTGAGGAAGCCTGGTTACTTATTTGGCAGCTCTGTCACGGACCCAAAAATTCTGACTCTTGAGGCCGAGCAGTGGTTGAATGAATATGATGGGGGTCTGAGATATCTTCCCTCGATCCCTTGCCAACATCCGCTAACTCATCTGAGGAAGCAGGTTGTGACGCGAGAGATGTCCTAGCATCTGATGGAGGACCAGGAGCGAGTTCATTGCGGGTATATCACTCACCAGAAGACCTTAAGCTCCAGCGAAAGAAATTATATCCGCGGACTTCATCCCGGTGTGCCGTGACAAAATGAAGTGTCGCAGAATGAACTGCCAATAGTTGCCAACATAGTAAAGAATCGTCTCGTGAGGCTGGGAAGAGTGTTGGACCCTAGAGGGGGGTGATTAGGGTCTTATGCTAATCTAATCTGATTTTATGCCAATTAAAATTAATTAATAAATTATTCTAGCAAGTATAAAATACAACAATATATATGAGCTAGGATGAGCAATATAAACAAAGGTAAATATCCGAGCAATGAGATATACTATGAGATATATGCAAGGATATATAATTAACACAAGGGTAAATAATCTAAACTAGATAGTGGGCAATATAATCAACAAGCAATATACAATGGCGATATAAGATATGAATATAAAAATAAGTGCGCTAATACAATCACAAACAAACGATATGATTAGGGAGTTCGGTCCTCATAACCTACATCTCCGCTCCTCACCTCGAGGAGATCTCCACTATCACAACCGGGTTTTCTACGTTTAACCAAACAACGTTTACACCTCACAATACGGTTTTCTAGTTTACCAAAAACTCTACAACTAACACACTCTTGTAATCCCACTCTACACCCTCTCAAGTGTTGAACTAGACGTGTCTCCCTCAAGTGCTCAGATACAACCTCTCCCTAGGTTCGTCAACCGACGCCACTCCTCTTGGGATGATCCCCGACTCTCGCCACACACTTCTCTCGCTGTACAAGTGTATTACAAAGTGAATCTCACAATAAACACAATTACAATAAATGTTTATTCTCTACTATGGATGAGAACATAATGAAAACTCACACTCAATTGTTTCAACTCTCACCAACCCAAATATACTATATATGAATATACAATAAGCTCAATGTGGGTGTGTGTAACAATGAGAATAAATAAAACTTAACTCAATAAGAACTAGCAATAAGATTGATATAAAATACAATAGTAAAAATACTAGGAAATAGAGTTAAGGAAACTTTTCTATAAACACAAAGAGAGGATGATGAAATATTGAAGATGAACTCTTTAACAACTGATGTAAGCTCCTCTTTGTAAAACCCCGAACTTAAAATAAACTAACTAAGCTTAAACCCTTATTAAACTTTTGTTTTAAAAACTTCTTGGTTGGTTTAAGAACTGAGATCAATGGGGGTACTTATAGCCTCTCAAAACCTCAGCCAAAAACCCCAAACAAAAGACCAAAAAGCCCCAAACAATGGCTAAAGAAAATACCCGTTGGGAATGAAAAGAAAGAGCGATGGTCGACCGTGGGAAACTCACGGTCAACCGCGAGCAACTAAAAGGCAAAACTGGGTTTTTGAAAAGTTGACGAAACTCTCTGGACTGCATACGGTCGACCGCCACGGTCGACCGTGAGCCAACTAAACTCATACTGAGTTTCTGAACTCAGGGGCGGTCGACCGTGACGGTCGACCGCAAACTGACATATGCAAAATCTGATTTTCTGAATTTAAAACTCTATTTAAAAATATCAAATAAATTCAGAAAAATATAAAACTTTGGGAAATAATTATAGACATGATAATACACATGCTATAAAAACTGGTTTTTATAAAGGACTTTCCAAATGAGAAATATCATCATTTTACAAAATAGTCCAAAACATAAAAATGTAAACATATGAGTTTTGACATTTTAGCTTAACCATGTTTTGAAACAATACAAAATAATTTTATAGACTTAAAGAAAGATGTAAACTATTATTATGAAGTCTATAAACAATGAATATAGTATTTTATCAAAATACACATAAAGATGTAAACTATTATTATGAAGTCTATAAACAATGAATATAGTATTTTATCAAAATACACATATAACGCACTAAAACATGATTTCATTGAACTAAATAAATTGATATTGATGAAATCATATATATGCATATAAGTATGAAACAAGAAATGTATTTTTAATTATATTCAATTGTTTCATATTAAAAATTGAAAACTCAAAACCATGTATGTATATATATAACTAAATATAAACTCCTAAACTAAATTACCCAAACTTGATCTTGATCTTCATTGTAGCTCAACTTGGTAAACTTACGGATGAAGCTTGAACTTGGATCTTCAACTTGAATTGTACAAAGCTTCACCTACTAATCCGCCAATCTCCATTTGATATGATCGTTATGGCGCAATCCATCAATCCTCCAACACGTTGTTTGCCTAAAATAAATACAAAAACACAAATACTAGACAAACAACATTAAATATAAATTATTTGTTAAATCATCATTAAAACAAGAAGGCCAACCATCTTCCCCTTTTTTATGATGACAAACAATTTACAAAAAAAGATATATGCATGAAAGGAAATAAATATACAAAGTATATTATATCATGCATATAAACAAGAAAGAATATACTCATAATATTTCTCTCACTTTGACAACATCAAAAAGGGGACAAAAGAATGAAGAGAGCGAAAGCTCCCCCTATCAATATGCGTAGGTGAGTATAAAACAAGTATAGGGATTAGCTCCCCCTATCAAAATGCAATAAAGATCAAGGCAAAACATGTGAGCAAGCATAGATAAGAGCATGCTAAAAATTTACTCACATACATTAAGATAATGAGAACACATGTGGATTCATCAAAATAAAAATAGTGTCTCATTAACACAACTATAAAAACATAGTGTATAAAAATAGATCTATGAAATCAAAAGAAGGAAAAACAAATCACTCAAATAAAATCATAAATCAAGATTTAAAACCAAAAACGATGTTTGATCAATAAAGAAAACTTTCTTTTAAGAACTTGATCAAACCACTCATAGAATGCATTATAAAGCGCGAATAGATGATCCATAAGCACAAACACATAAACATTATCATATAAATGAAATATAATGAATTCAAAGCAACAAATCAAAACACAATTTTTGACAAAATGCAAAAGAGGCAACAATATCAAGCTCTTGAACTTGTTTCAACCCATATGAACAATTTAGCACCCGGTAAACAAGATTTGGGAATAAACACCCAATAAATCCAGGGGGTTATATAAAAGCAAACCTCTTAATAAAATTTAAACTAATAATCATGAAAACAAAATAATTAATCAAGGAAAAATTATTTTCATAACCAAAAGATTTTTAAGACATAATTTTTAAAACCAAGAAAAGGAAAAATAAGAACACTAAAATTCTTGGTTTAAAAATTAAATTTTTTTTGGTACCAAAGAACTCTTGGTATCAAAAGATTTAGGGACATGACCCCTATTATTTAATCTCAAAGCCCTAGGGTTATGAACCCGTTTAGGCACATGTGGTGCAATAACACGGTCAAAACAAAAATTACTTAAATGACCCTTCCGATTACAATAAGTACAATGAAAAAAATATTTGCTTATGTTGACCAAACGGTTGTGCACGGGACTCATTTGCAAAAATAGATTATTCTTTAAAATTATTTTGCAAATGGGAAACTCTCTTCAAATCAAAACAAAACTTGGTCAAATGACTAAATCTACCACAATGATCGCACTTAAACTTTTGTGGTCTTTTAAAATCATTTGGCAAAAGTGAAGTCTTTTTCAAATCAGCAAAATTTTGCCAAATGGCCAAAACGTCCACAAAGATTATATTTGAACACATTA